CACATCTACTTATCAAAAATCTCTTGTAACATGATACATGATCATCTCATACCTCTGGGCAAAGTAAGATAAAAGCCCAATGCAACATCTAGAAAGAGACAATTCTACATCAAGGAGCAGCTCCTAGGTCTATTTGCAGACAAGTCAAGGTGGGAATGGGACAATGTCTGATATGGCACGCTGCAGAGTGTGACATACGGGCACCAGGTCCAAGTCTGCAACGGTCTTTGTGGCTCTATGTGTGTCTACACGAGCAGCCAAGGCAAAAGCAGTATCTCAGCACACAGGAATGTAAGGGGAACCAGAGAACCACTGTGGAAAATGATACCGGCTGCTCGGTCACAGTCCAGAGGAGGGAAGGACGTCATGTCACAAGTGGCATGTCCTTAATACAGATAGTATAACCGTCACAGCATTCAAGTCATCTGGGCAAGTGTTGAAGTGGTGATGATGGACACATTTCTAACATAAAAAGGGGAACAACTGAACTAATGCATTGTTATACGGCATCCACATCCCATAAAGTCACATTAGTTCTTGTTCAGTTAATAAATAAAGAAGGAACATGAGTGTTTGCAATGGAAGGTGCTATCAGCCAGAGCTCGCAAAGAGATGTTACAGCCACTAGGTTTAAAAAGAATAAGCCTGAGTGACTACAGCACAGTCTGGCACAGTCTACATCCTTGAATCCTTGTATGGCTTTGCCTCCTCAGTCACGGTTTATGCCCTGATCTCCAAGCTATATAAGGAGATACAAAGACCCCACGTTTGAGTCACTGGCTTTTCACATTAAGCCTAGATGTTTAAATCTCACATCTGCGCCTGTTCCTGTTACTTATACAAATGCCTTGCTTTAATTCCAGACAAAAGAGCACCCACCCACACACTTCAAAAAAAAAAACTTTATCATCAATTTGCAGATTCAGTGGAAAAGTTCAGTTCTTGTGCAACTTATTATTCTCACAACAAGCAGATCTGCTGTAAACAATAGTTTTCCATTATCCTTTCACCCTAAGTATATACTATGAGATGGATTTACAACAGAGAGTCCTTTTGAGGACAGACTCTACTCCGCCAAAGGCTCTATGCAAAATTCGCATCTCACTGTGATTCACTCTAATTTCATCAACTCGTTAGAAAAAGGGCAATCTTTCTTTTAGGCTTAGCACGCAAACTAAATCAAATTAAGATGGAAGAATGAATCTGCAGTGTACCCTGTGATCTCAGAAATCTCAGAAAGATAAACTTCAGCTGGATAAACTTCCATCACACCATGGAAAGCCTTCAGAACATCAAAAATAACAATGGCATTTGTTAGTGTTAATAACCTCTGAAGCTCATCACACATGCTACTCATTACAGGACATTCATTTACAACCTGCAACCTGACTTAGGCCAGAAACACACATGGCAAAAGCACTGAAGCGGTAAATATCAATGCAAGGGCTGCGGAAAGAGTGACTGAAGCTGCTTTGTGCTGCACATTCATTCACACTAATGTATGCCACAAGGAAGCTTAAGAGACAACCAGACAAAAACAAGCAATTAGTCTACAGACGAGACCAAAACATAAGGTTATTCAATGGGAACCACTGATGTGCAAAGCAAAGACGGTTGACCTCCTCTGTATGAGTTAAGCCAACAGACAACAGGGGTTGGCAGAGAGCAAAAGAGCAAGGAATCGTAAGAAAAAGGAAAAGGGCACAAACAAGACAGAGAGACAGAGCGAGAGACAGAGGGAGAGAGTGTGTGAGAGACAGAAATAATGCCATGTATTACAGTACTGTGATCTCTCTTCAAGCTATCTCAAATAGATCACTCATTAAACTAATCTCTTAATTACAGCAAATTAGAGAGTAAATGAGGGGGATTTAATAAATGGATCCTGGTGCTGCACATTCATTAACTCTCTATGAAGTACACACTAATAAAAGGGAGGGACATATGAGAAATTTCTCACAAGTAACTAATAGCACCGTAGGAGAAGCAGGACCACACTTCGCTTTCAACAGTTTCAATTAGGGATGTAAACACAGATTAACCAATTAACCGTTAAATTTGTTTGACAAATGCTGTTAGTAAAAAAAAGCATACATTTTCATTTACATTTCTAGTAGACAACAGTTCCTGTTGGAATAATTGAGGAACATTTCAAAATTGTGCAAGAAGCAATTGGCTCTGCTAGACAGGCCTATTAAAAATGAAGCACAGCTAAAAATAGTGGTGTTTGGGACCACTATAGGACGAAAGCATAACTATGATGCACCTCATTGAGAGTTAACATCCGCGATGGATAAAACCGACAACTATTTTGTCCATGTTTTTTATGAGAAAGCGTGATGCATGGCTTTTGATAGCGTGATGTACACTGAGCCAAAGCAAGACGTGGATGTGGAATTTATCTTCCTTATAACTTGGGCTAGTAATGAGCTGTAAATACACCTTTAGAACTTCACAATATAGAGATTTCAGTAGTCATTCACATATATTCCAGTCCTTTCTGGTGTCGACCAGAGGAGGATGGGTTCCCCTTTTGAGTCTTTGTTCCTCTCAAGGCTTCTTCCTCATGCTCTTAGAGAGTTTTTCCTTGCCACTGTCGCCATTGGCTTGCTCATGGGGGCTTGGACCCGGATTTTTCTGTAAAGCTGCTTTGTGACAACACCTGTTGTAAAAAGCGCTATACAAATAAACTTTGACTTGACTTTCATCAACTTCATCAATATAATCATGTACACATAGTTCTCAGCTCCTTAGTTTAAACAAAACTGTGTATGTAGAATATGTTTAATACAGTTTTGGGCACTTGCTTTATATACATGCTTATGCGTGGCCCTACTTATCAGTATTGATTTCCACAGTCCATATAAGAACACTTTTTAATATCTTGGTTATTTCTCTGTTAATTATTTACTAATAAAGAATTCAGCTGATGTGTGCATTCATTAGTGTGCCTATATCATTAGAGTTACAATGGCTCAGCCAATTCAATTTCACAAATGGCTAGCTAGCTACTGATTAACCACTGACTAATGACAGTCAGTTATCGCTGAAAATAACTTTTCAGCATTTGCACCCCTAGTTTCAATTCATCTTTCAATATTGTCAGAAGAAGAGAAGCTTAAAGTATTTTCAGAGATGAAAGGAGGCTGAAATCTCCTTCACACTCTGATCTATACAAAATTAGATGTCAATGTTTGACTAAATAACAAATCATATTAATATCTGGTGACTGGGAAAGACTTTGCATTTACATTTGACTTATCCTGGTGTTCATGAGATTACTCGAATTTGCTTAGTATTGTGACTGGGGGCGTTTGAATCTAGGAACATAACTGAAAAAACAACAGGGTTGGTCCTATAAACTTGCCACATAAAAATGGGCAATTAAACAACCATGCAGAGCAATCAGTCCGTCCTAATAACTTCCATGAGATGTCCTCACATAACATTACGGATCGATTACCATTAACAGTTAGCAAAAGACACTGTGGGTTGAAGACATCCTTGGCTTTCTTCAAACACTAACAGGTCCAGAAGTAGGAAAATGGATAGAAGACAACTTATCAGACCATATAAACCTTTTTTTCCATTACTCAGGGGTCCAGGTTTAATGCTTAAGTTTAATGAGGTTACATCCCTATCTCTGTGAGCTGTCTTTAGGTACAAACAGCTTCCAAATGGCAGCTCTGCCATAAAAATTCCGACTCTGTGAAGCTCATGACATGGTTTTTCCTGAGGCTGAATGGCAGAGGTGCTGATTCAATTCGAGACCATAATTTTGTGATGTTAAGCAACTAACCCATTATGTGTCTGTTTGTCCACATTGGTGAGCACTGACATGCAACTTCTTTTCAATTTTGCCAGTGCAGTTTGTCTGTGTGTGGCAGATGTGATCTTTTGTTCTTAAGAAATTATTCATTTTGCAGTTTTTATGTTTACTGCACCTGCAATCCAGACACTGAGAATCAGCCTTTGTACTCTTCTCAGTTTTTCTTTTCAAATATCACCTATCCAAGAGCTCATTGTCAGACCTCTAGGCCTGTAACAATCATGAAATTTTAGCTGATGATTAACTGTTATATAAGTAACTGTGATTAACAATTTATCAATTTTGTTCATTCTATGCAGCTACTGACGTACAAGCTTAACTTGGACAAACTAGCTGATTAGCTATTTTGTTTGTGGATACTCCGTAGCTGCCAACTGAAGACAGACACGATTTGAGCTCAAATAAACAAACACAACCCACTACTTCCCTCTACACATATTAAAGCACCATGTCAGTTCAAACATTGTGTGTATGATTAGAAAATGTGTATGATTTGCAAAGCTGGAAGCAAACTGGATTTTCATTTCTGTAGGAGAATAAGAACATAAACATAAAAAGTGTTAAATAAAAAGTTTTTTACTGTTGCAGATGTACAAGAATGCTTGATATGAAGGAAGCTAAAGTTCCACTGTTTGTTTTATCTTGGCACACCAGTCTTTATAGAGAGGTGTGAATTGTTTTCACAGAGCCAACAGTGTCCTTGTTAATCTGATAACAGAGCTACAGAGAAAAATACTGTATTTGACTGTACAAACTAAAAATGAGATCATTTCCATTCTGTTGGCAGGAGTAGGGGACTTGCAGAAAGAGATGGACAGCTGACAAATACTACTAATTGGCATTCGATGTGACCTGTGCAGATGTCTCTGTAATTATGATTTATCTCAAGGTGCTTTTCATGTGGTATTTCATTGCCTTTTGTTCACCCCTGTACTAGTCTATCAAGTGTCCTGTATCCATATTCAAGACTTAAAAACACAGAGGAATGCCAACCGCACAAAAACAAGTAAATTACAATGGAAGAAACACATGCGAACATGATCCACACAAGCTGTTTTTTTCCTGACAGTTGTATGCTATTATATACAAGGAAAAAAAAACCTTTCAGTATAGCTGATGAATACAAGACAAACAAAGAGTTTAAAATATTCCTGACTGCACTGACACTCACCACAAGCTCAGAGAACATGCCATCCAGCTCATCGTAGCTGGGGATGGGCAGCGTGGGCTCCATGGTCTGCAGGACGAAGTCCTCCCGCAGCCGGTAGGTGATCTCTGGGTGGTCGCTGCTCTGGAAGCAGCAGAAGATGAAGGACATGCTACGCCCTCCACCACCTCGTTTGCGGGGCGCCATGGCTGCTCAGGGAGGGTCGTAGTAAGGGTAAAAGGTAAGGGGCTAGCGATCCTCCCTCAGGTGCCTCAGTTAACTTAGTCTTGCTCCTGTCACAGAACCCTGAAAAAAATACAGAAGAGACAACAGTTTTACTCAGTAACATATAGAACCGTATGCTCCTGGAAAAAAGGCTGTGTGTCCTCATTCTTAATCTTACTCTCAGAACATATGGATAGGAGGCCATGTTTAAATTATTTATTTTAAAATTGGAAGAATTTTGTATTGATAAAGATGGTTTGGCAACCAATCTAATTTACACAATTTTCCATGTACCCAGACATATTTAATCAGCTGAGACATTTGGTATATCATTTGCTTCTTTAGCTTAACCTTGGAGTGGCAAGGCTAACATTGCTAACAAACACTAAAATTCAAATGGCCACCCAAATAGCCACACATTACAAAACATCTTTCAATTTGCTCAAACTGCATCCAGGTCTTGTTGGTGTTATAGACTTGTCTGTGTGGTTTAGCACAGCGTATAACTTACTGTGAAGTCTGAACATAAACAAAACTGCAGGCAGCACTTTCGACAACAGGAAGTGGAGTGCTGATCTAGAATCAGTATTTGTGACAATGACTGCCGAAAACATGGAGATTAGTCCTGATTTGTAAATACCAACCCTGGTGGTATCTGAAATCTGCCTTTAGCGGTTAAATTTTGCTCATTTTTATAGCTCACAGAAAGTCATTCTCTGTTCTAAACCACATCGGTAAGTCTGCATGACCTTACTGAAGACCTGGTTGTGGTTTGGATGGGATGTGAGAAGTTCTGGTGAAGTATTTTTATAAAAATGATTTGGGCTGTTTGGGTGACTATTGAGTTCTAGTTGTTAGCAACACTGAACTCGTAGTTCCAGTTCAAACTAAAGAGGTAAAATTTGGATCATAAACATGTCTTGGCTGACTGACCACATCTGGGGTAAGTGGAAAACTGGGTAAATTTGATTTTTCCATTCTTTTAATTAAGATGTAACAATCTAATCTGTGTTCTTTAAATTGTTTGCCCTAACATCGTTTTGGTATTAGGCATTGTGATATGAAACTTGGTGTCGGTATCAAAGTTAAAATTATCATGACAATCCACGAAAAGACTCAGGACAGACTACTGTAACAAATCCTATTTGGCACTCTAGAGGCAGCACGCATTAACACAGTACACATCCACACGTATTGATCCTTGAGCATAGGCTGCTTTTGAAGAATACACAGGAAGTGAATCCTAGACAGCCATTAGCTTGGACTGTCTCCAGAGAATGGCTGTGATTACAATCGGGCCTGTCTATTCATAATCCGGTCTCAAGCCCCCATGAGCCTCTCCAAAGCACACAAGGAGAGGAAGTTTGACTTTGTCTAAATCAGGGTCATTCATAAAGATGCACAGGACAGTGAAAGGAGTGATAAGGGCGATGGTGTCAATGGTGACAATGGTGACAAGCCTAATCTCTGGGAAAAAAAAAAAAAACACTTTATATAATGAAAAAGGTCAAATGCAGTTCTGGACATAGTGTCTGTATTCTTACCAAAGTCAAGTGTCTTTGTTCTAAGAAAACTGTTCGAACCATTTTCATAATTGTCCGAGACTGAGATTAAAGGTGTAACTCAAGTGACCCTATTGATAAACTCTTGCCAAAACCTCAAGATGGTTGTGGTCTACTGTGCTTCTCAGCGCTGTTGTTCACACAAATGTGTGCATTGCAGTTTTCCCATCTGTAGCATCACCAGCCGTTCCAGCTTAGCGGGAGTTGCAGTATCAGCTGTCATGATGGTATTAGGCTATATATCACAGTGACTTGAGTACATAAACAAAATATACAACATCGAACTAGGCGTGAGAGGTATAAGAGCAAAAAGTAAATAACTATGACACGATCTGACGATATGGATTTGACCATATCGTGAAAGCCCAAAAACCGGTGAACCCGCCCCCAGGACCAACTAAACAAAAGCATGAACAGCTTAAACAACTCCTATAAACTCAACAAGAATAAGCTGAGGGCCTTTTGCAGTCCTACATTAATCAGCGTAGCCTTTTATATTGGCTGTGCAGCAGGCAGCATGAGAGCAGATGAGTGAACAAAGTGTATTTTCTTGCCACTTGCAGCTTTCCACTAGAAAGAGCTGGTGTAACAGCAAAAGCGCACCAGGCTATGTGTCTGCAGATTATTACTTTGTGATTGTCTCTTTTTACTCTTTTGCTGCGTTTTACTGGACAAAGCAGATATGACGTTAGCTGTTGAGCAAGGCAAGGAAGGATGTATCAGCTCGTAAAACCCCATTCAATAGCAGGGATAGAGCAGAAAAAATACCAAGCTTAGAATAGCAAGCGGCCTTTATTAGAAACAGAAAAGAGTGAATAATTTTTTTTAGAGGCCAACTACAAAGTGCACAACAGAACTGAGAAGTGGGGAGGTTAAAACAGGAGAAGAGGAAGTAGTAGAGGAAGACTAAGAACTTCTTCCATTATAGGGAACTGAAGAAGCTAGAGTGCATGTTAGCATCTACACAATAAAAAAAGAAGAAATAAAGAAATGAAAGATTTTTAGTGGCAAACCATCCTATAGTTTATACAAAAATTTTAAGCTAGAAAATACAGTGATATATATTTTAATTCATATTACCCACTCGTACTTTAAACTTCAGTCATTCTCAACCAGGGCACTATAATATTCAAGCTCATGCCTGTATCAGCTGTTGGAGAAATTTCTGCGTCTGAAATTTAGTGCTGATATATTCATGCTTAAATCTCTCATGTATCCTGAGATAATTTCCCTGCATCCCTATGCCAAACAGGAGACAGCTGAAACAACACTGCTCACATACACCAATAAAATTTACTGGGGTGGCAGGTGTCGGAATAGCATAAACACCTGTGTGGTGTATGAAGAGGAACCGGCTGTGCTACAGGCTGATGGTGAGAATTCTACTCACAGCTGGACAATCTCAGGTCATCCAGAGATACCACAGGAACATTTAAAGCCCAGCAGCAGCCAAACACAAATTATGTTAGAAAAGGCAAAGGATCTCTAAGGAGAGGGACTGCTGGGGTGGGGAGGTGGGGACGGGAGAAGTATCATGCGGGTGGGAAGATTTGCAATAACTCTTTGCGAGTGGGTGGTAGAGATGCCCATCTGCCGGCTGTTGGTAACCAATATAATCTCCACAGCTGGAGCACAGCTGAACCCTAACCCCTTTAGCTTGTCTGCCGCCACCAAAGAATCCAGAAATGGTCCCACCCAAAAGGCTGAAACAATTTAGGCTCAACTGCTCATACGCTCACACTTGCCTCAAATCTTGAGCCTAAGAATACATGCACACATACCTTCACTCAACAATCCATGTAAACATATGCAAGGCTGGACAAACTGACATTCCACATTTGAACAGAAGCGCTATGGCTTGTTCAGTGGGATCACCCATCCCTAACTAGGCAAGAGATCACAAACACTCATGCATTCCTCTCCTCTGTGGTGCAATGTTGAAGCAGAGAGAGAGAGAGAGAGAGAGAGAGAGAGAGAGAGAGAGAGAGAGAGAGAGAGAGAGAGAGAGAGAGACTTTTTACCAATCTAACACAGTGAAGAAAAGACTAGCTGTTGCGTGCACAGCATCACCAACCTTGACATTAAGGAAATGAAGAACTCTTGATGTTCAGAGTTTACAGGCTACCTAACCTCTGGCTGACTCTGACATGATAATCAAATCCCGTTCAAGTATCTCAGGCTTAGTGCATTAAGTCTGGCCATGAGGAAAGACTCCAAACTATTGTGAGAGACAACAAACAAGTGATCTATTGCCCAGTGAGGAGGAATGCACTGCGATGATACTGTAAATTTCAACTGAGGCATGCAAACAGCAAACATCATACTCAAAATCTTCTCTGTTCAACAATGCAGTAATTCGATTCCTTTATATACTAGATCTGTGTCTTGGACAAGACTCTGGGCAGAGTGACCTGACTCCTGCATAGGGCTGAATTCTCAGTGATTTATGGGAGCCAATCTAACTAATCACATACTGTGGCTTTCAAAGGCATCTTGAGGTGTTGTGAAAGGTCGATTGCATTTAGCAATCAGAATCAGCCATGGCCGCACCTGTTGATTTCTGCTGTGCTTTTCTCCATAGCCCAATGGCTGACCTTCAGAATAGGATTTGGTAGTTTAACCCAAGGGGGTGATTGAAGAACTAGACTGCAAGTGTCTCTGTCCAGCAACACTGGAAGAAGAGGAAATGAATAGGATTCAACATAGAAAAATTATCTCCACTCTGACCACAGGGGGAAACACATATGCTACAGAGCCCAGCATGGAAATCTCCGCAAGACAAAGAGAAAACCATGTGTTTCTTACATAAGCAAGAACATGCAATTTTTCCTGTAAATTTATACACTGAATGAGCCGTTTACTGATATACAGTAGAGTATGTGATCCAGCGGGAACCTTTCTAAAACACTTCTGTTAAAAAAACAGAAAGAAGAAACCAAGAAGACTCTTTCGCACACTGTACAGCAAAAGTAGATCCCTGGTACAAGCAGAGTTTAATCATGAGCTAAAATTCTCGATAATAAAAGAAATTTGACAAGTGTTATATCCACCATTGTGGTGGCAACAGGAGCAGAGCAAGCACTGTGCTAAAAGGTTCTGAACTAAGAATGCAAATTCCTAAACCTGACTCCTCCTTAGACAATAACAAATATGCACCTTAGATATGCACTGAAGCAAGAAGGTCTCACTGCAACATGCCGAGCAAAGTCGGTTTATCAGCTCGACTATCTTCAGATACCAAGATGTTCTTTGCTGACTCCTCTCGATAGAGAACTTAAAGTCCCCAGGATTTCAGATCTTGAACATGCAAAGGGAGCAAGCTTTATCTGCATAGAACAGTCCATGAGCTGCAGCATGTCACATCTACCACAGCAGTCAAAACACAGTCACAGAACACTCCCTAAAATTGAAGAAAAGGAGTAAACTCCTAATAAAACTGATGGACACTAGACATTCTCTGACTGGGTGGGAGACAGAGTCCAATAGGAAAAGAACAATTTGACCATGCTCAACATGGCA